CTTAAAGAAAAGGAAAAAATAATTGAAGAATGGGTTGTTTGGGGTAACAAACCAGCATGGTCTTCGCTAGTTAAAATTAAATCTAATTTTTAAGCATGCTTGATATGGCAGACAACAGCCAACTGTCGATCAAGGGGGTACCATCATGGTACAAAATTCTTAGAAAGTTAAGGATCCTAAGGGAGGTGAATTGTTGTTTTGGCAGATCGCACTGGGCATAGTGCTTGGTGAGTTTTTATTAGACTAGAACATTATACTATAGAAATTATGTATAAATATATATTAGTTACATAGTAGTTCAAATAAATAAAAGCAGGACTGCTTAAAAAAAATAAAATAAAATAAAAAGTTAGATGTCACTATACTATGACCAAGTTAGATTTTACAGAGGCCATTTATCTTCACCACTTTTTTAATTATAATTTAATTATCAATGAGCTTAAACAAGTGGTTTTGCTTAAAAAATAATTGTTAAAAGTGGCCCAGCAAGAGTTACTAAGAAAAAGAATATAAAAATAGCTAGACATAAATATGGGGACAAGACAATGAATAAACCTAGAACTACATGAGGTGGTTAATTTAATAAATAATATAAAGCTAAAAGAACAGAAAAAAGAGGTTTAAGCCTGTATAGTAAATACCATCTACAAACCTTTATTGCCTATTCCTGAAGTAACTATGCTCCCAAATAGTGGTGATAAAGAAGAGTTCTCCTCTTTTAGTAATAGCAATCAACCAAGAAATAATCGATCTGAATTTGTCACTACTATAGTCTTTGAGTTGATGAGCTCAAGATGCTATAGAAGACTGGTGTTTGCCAAAGCCTGTATAGACAATGGCCATGAATATTTTTTATATATAGAGGGGAGTCAATAGAAATAGGACAAATCTATCTAATAAATTTGTCCTATTTCTATTGACTCCCCCCTATATGCATCCCACTTTGGGTATATACTATACTATTAAACAACTCAACCTTTGTTAAGCTATATATTATTTGAAATTCTTTATATTTTTACTAATCACCAATGACTTCATGGATCTAATTATTCTACAACAATAGGTTGCAAAAGGTGCTGAAGAAGCAGGGTTGAATATTAATGAAATCTAATACAGCAGTCTAAATACTGAAATAATTGAGAATCTAATTGCTAGCACTATAGATTAATAAAACAGATGTAAATATATGGACAATAATAGATAGCATATATATATATATAAAAAAAAAAGATATTAAAATTAGAGTAGTGTTGTAGACATAACAATTCGAAAGGCTGGTTATGACACTAATATGCAAGGAAGAGGCACATTAAGCAAAAAGGAAGCTAATAAAGATATTAAACTGAAAGAAATTAGAAAAATATTTAGTATAGAGAAAAATATTGAACAGGAAGAAAAGCTAATATGACAAGAGAAAAAAAAGAAGAAAATTAAGAATTAAACTAAAAATAGTGAATAATATAACCTGGAAAGAGGTTTGAACTGAAAAAAGAAAATTATACTTATATTATACAAAGATTTAAAATTCAAAGAAACAAATCCAGCCCAGGTTTCGGTGTTCTAGCAACAAAACCAAAATGAATATTGAGAAATATAAACAACTAAAGAGATATCTGGAGACCAATAACCTACTTTATGATTTTGATTCAGAAAACAAAACAGAATCAGCTTTACTATATAAGAAAAACTGAAAAAAACAGTCTCATAAAAAGCTATTATGAGTCATCAAAGAAAATGAGGTAGAATCTATATTATACCTAATGCCAACCACCTGACTAGCAGCCATTTTAGTGTAGATGAAATATTTGGAAAGGTCAAAGAACTTTATTACTGGTCTCAAATGTACAAAAGTATTTATATATATGTCAAGTCATATAATAGTTGTCAACAACGAGAATAAAAAAGAGCCATCAAACCACTACAGCCCATTTTAGTAGGCCTACTATTCCAAAAGATAGGAATAGACATAGTAGGATTTTTATCACTAACCACTCAAGATAACTACTATATAGTTGTTGCCACTGATTATATAATGAAGTGGCCTGAAGCAAAACCCATTTCAATAGCTAATACTTTACAAGTTGCTAAGTTTATCTATGATGATATTATATGTCGATATGGGTGTTCGGAGTTAATTCTATTTGATAGAGGAACCCATTTTAGAAATCAAGTAATTAAATACTTGTTAGGAAGATTCCAAATAAAATATTTATTCTCTACACCTTACTATCTACAAATGAACGAAATCCTTAGCAAAATCAGTTGCTCAAGAACAAAAATAGGACCTGTTAGTTTCACCTACATTGTTCACTTATAGAACAATGAAACAGGCCATTACAAAAATCGAACTATTTTATTTAATCTATAGTAGGAAGCCCAGGTTTCCTTATCAAGGTTTATCTGAGATCTTGGAAGAAAATCTACTAGAGCAATTATTTAAGCTAGAGAATGAGTTGATTGAAAAAAGATTGATTACTATGAATTGAAAAGATCCAATTAAAACAAAAAGAAAGATTTTATAAAAAATTATCTAAAGTTAACACTATCCAAATTAGAGATAAAGTTCTATTGTTCAATGCTACTTTAGACCAATGATATACTAGGAAATTAAGACCAAAGTGGAAAGGTCTATATTATATACACAATATGCTATTTCTAGGAGTATATAAACTACAAACTATACCAGGAAAGATAATAGCTGCACCTGTAGGCCTTTCCCTTATTAAGAAATATCACAAATGAGAGAATACGATACACTAAGATCTAAAGCTCATGAGAATTTTGTATAAAAAAAGACAAGATTGCTTCAAAATTAGCCCAAGAAGAATGTATATATATAATTAAATAAAATCATGTCCAACACATACCAAATTGTTCTTACCAACTTACTGTAGACTGCAATGTCGAAAATAATCTACTCACTTTTAATTCAACTATAGATTTTTCAACCCAAGTTATTTATTACTGAACTATGAAGCAACTACTGAGGCAAGATAAAAGAGGTGTCGTAAGTTAAAAGGGCCTATTTTTATATATACTTTATTTTGAGATAATCGAGTTTAAATATTTGTTTTGATTTTCGAACTGATCTGGGATTAATCAAATTTCATGATTTTTATTGGTTAAAAATTACATGTGACTATTAGATAATCTCGTGATATGCTTGGCCTTAAACAGCCTTGTGTAATCTTTCTTTTACATTATCTCTTATAGGCTAACTTTCTTCTGATTGGTCAATCACTTACAATTGAATTTATACAGTTTAAAGTACTTTTAAAAATATA